ATTACCAATACATTGTAATTATACACCATGCTACACCATGTAAGCAGTGGTTATTCTGTATTGTTTAGGGAACAGTGACAAGAAAAATGCCCGCACATGTTCAGCACAAATGCAATTTTAAAAGATGTATTTTTGAACTGGTGAGTGCTGGTTGAAACTACAGATGCTGAGCGAACGGGTACAGAAGTCCTTTTGCGTACCATAACTGGAGTGAGAAGTCAGAAAAGAAAGGGGAAGGGCATGTTTAGGACACATGCAACTAGAAAAAGATTAGGCATGAATAAAGTAGCTCCTAGTTATCCAGAAGGGAAAACTAAAGTCCAGTTGGAAAATGAGCAATAGATACAAATAGATATGGGAAAGGGAACATTTACCAAAAACATAAAAGGAAGAGCTGCATTATTCATAACCAGAGGAAGGCGCAGATTTGCTTGAATGAGCTGCTGCCAAGCTCCCACTGGACAGGCCAGCTGTCAACCTCAAGAGGTTTTGAGGTGTTGAGATTCAAGAACTTCCATACATGACTGCCTCTGCCCTGCAGAGGGTTAACCATTACACTGCTTTTTTTGCTCGAAGGCATACACCCTAAAGAGATACTTGCCAATGCATGACACAATATGTGCTAAGACCATTGTTAACAATTGGTTAACATCAGAAAACCACCATGTACACTGACCACTGAGTAGACTGATAAGTTTGTATTCATTGAATGGAATAGTTTACGGCAATAAAAAGTGAATGAGCTACTGCTGCTACACTTAACATGATGAATTGCAAATATGATGCTAAGAAAAAGAAACACAAAGTAAAAGTATATAGTGTACATTGTGGTTTCTTTTCTTAAAGTTATAGTACAAATCTCCATGTATGCATGTGTACCTGTGCATGCGTGCATATGCACATGCATGCAAACACACACACACACACACACACACACACACAAAAGCCATGAACAAAACTGGAAAATGATTATTATTATTCACATCTAGGGGAGGGGTGACACTGTGCAGAAAGAAGAGGGATTTTATAAAGGAAGAGCAAAGAAGGAAATTTATTTAATCTTATTTTATTATTTATATTTTACATGTCTAAATTGTGATGCTGTTTGTTTGTTTGTTTGTTTGTTTGTGGCAGGGTTTCACTGTGTAGCCCAGACTGGCCTCAAGGCTCTCAAGTGCTGGGATGACAAGTGTGGGCCATCAGGCCCAGGAAAAAATTTAAAATTTAGCAAATATTCTGATGCGAGTATTTGTTTAAACACTTTTAAGTTGTGCTATATTTGATAGTAAACCTTTTGCAAAAAGGAAATGGGAGGTAAATAAATCGAGTACAGAAGCAACTGTTGTGCTTTGCTGGAAGAAGTGTGTGTGGAGAAAACAGCATAACCACGTTTGCTTCTCAGACCCACGCAGCATTCAGCTTGCCTTATGTCAACCTGCTCTGGTGGGAACCACCACCCTTCCTGAGACCAGCATCAATCCCTTGGAGGGGCGATGTCTTCATGGCCTCAAACCTTCCTCTAGGTCCTGCGTCTTGAAGATTCTACCACTTCAACACAACCACCCTGGGGACCAAACTCGTGCCATTTGAACCACTGAGAGACTCAAACCATATCCAAACCGCAGGAAGGAGGCAAACCCTTGCGTAGGTAAAGGAGATTGATTTACGAAGGCTGGTATAGCTTACTTGCAGTCACATTTGAGGCAGGGGAGTAAAGGGCTTCAAATGCAGGCAGGTTGGTAGACTTGTTAGTGAAGAAGGGAATTTGTTTTCTCCTGAGTGCTTCACATTTTGAAGTGAAACAACAAACAAAGGCATGAAGGCAGAGAGGATGCTGGGAGTTTGCGGAGGGCAAAATGTTGAGAGCGCGGGAGCATTGGAAACAGCTAGGTAAATACGTTGGACCAACATGAAATACATGCTCATAAATATAATCTGGGATTGGCTGGGAGAATGGTTTATTTCGCTTCAGAAAAGCTGAATTGCTTAGGTGGAGATGTAGAGCGCTGGTTTTTAAACAGTCAGGGTTTTGCAAGGTGGGAACAGGAGGAAAGGGGAAAGTAGCAGGATAGACACCAAGAAGGTGGTGGAATCAATGGATTGGAAATCCTGATGGGTCTGAAGAATTCTGCACGGTGGGGCTGCCAAGCCAGCGAGGTGGAAAGAGACCAGGTGTGGCGAGGGAATGAATGCTTCGCCCTGAGCTTCCGAATTACTGCCTCGTCTCCCCTCCCCCACCTGGAGCACGGTGTGTAACTAGGAGTGGTCACGTGGCAGGAGGGAGGCGCACCCGAGTGAGCCAAGGGGCAGCTGGTGTGGAGACTCCGGGTGGCGGGCGTGAGGCCACATAGGGTGATTGTCGGGCAGAAGCCGGGGAGTGGATAAAGTGAGCCAGAGCGTAAGGTCTTCAGTGACCGAGAAGAATGGCCAAGAGTTTGGCAGGTGACTTCAGCAAGGCCAAGGGGCAGTTAGGACTCTGCTAGAAGTCACTGTGTGAGGCGCTGGTGACTTTTGAGGGAGAATGGTGGCGAATAGAGTAGAAGCGGCCCTGGAGAACAAGGACGTCTTCCCCACTTCCAGGACCCACCTCTTTGCCCAGAATGTAGGAATACATCGTTTCTGTATTCTGTACTATTTCTACTTTTAATCTAATCCTCAGCAACACAATAAAACATTCTAAACTGCAGCAAAGTTAATGGAACAACTGACTTAATGTTGAATCTGGAAGCCTTCGTAGGCTGAAGCTGTTTTTACTGTTCTTCACAGATGAGGAAACAGAACGAGGACAGGAGCCCAGGGCTCCTGGCTGCTGTACTGTGTTCAGTCCATTAGAATAACTGCTGTAGTGACAGACAAAGAATACCTTGTCAAAGATCCTTTCACATCTGGGACCTTGTGGACCCTAAAGGGATTGTCCCTTGCAGGGCCCTCCAACCCCTTGAGGTGCCTGACCTGAAAGTCTACTTTTCATTTGCAAACCCACAGTCTCAGAGCCCAGCCTACTCCTTCAACCTGACCACTTCCCTGTCCTCTCATGCCTCAGAGCTGGAGCCCACAGGAGCCAGTCCCCGCGCATGCCACCCCCAAGCCTGCTCACCCTGCTTACTCATGCCTTGACGCAGAGATTGCATTTACTTACGCACACTTTCTCCCTTGTCCCCACTCTAGGTGACATGGGTGGGAGCCTGTGTGGTCCTGTATGGTCTGGCATGTCACCTCTTTTTGGGTAACTGTGAGTAATATAGAACAAACTATATTTTGGATGGCAGCTATCTCTTGGGCTGCTATTGTCACCATTTCAAAATAACAACAATTCTTGATTGATTTCTTGATGATAGCCATTCTTCCTGGGGTGAGCTGGAATTTCAGCCTTGTTTTAATAGGCATTTCTTGAAGGACTATACTACTTAGCTATAAAAAGGATAAACTCAAGGCTTCTATAGGCAAATTGATGCGGTTTGAGAACATATTCATAAGTGAAATAAATCAAACTCACATGCAGAAACATCATACTGTCTTCCTAGTGTCAGAAATTGAAAGAGGATGTAAGATCCAAACAACAGAACAGATACTGTGAAATGGAAAGAAACTGCTAAAAAGGAAAGAACGATTGGGATGGGGAAAGGAGAAAAGAAAGAAGGGGAAAATAGATAGTTAGATAGACAGATAGATAAAGATGGAAATAGATATATACATACTCACACACACACAAGATAGCTAAGATAATTATGCCACAAATTTCCATCAGTTCACTGAAGAGAAATGTTTGTGCTTATGTTGTTCGATCAATTTTCCATGCCTGCATCTTGTAATCTGAGCAACTACTTTGAAGATAACAATCAACCATTGTTAATCTCCTATTATTTTGTTTTCAATGCCTGTATCATTTTTTATCTTTAAAAAATGGGGGGAAAACATCCAAATAATAACAAAGCCTAAATTTAAAAATCTGTTGCATTCTTGACTACCAGATCTACTGACAGAGGCCCAAAGCAGCCGTGCATTGTGACCCAGGTGCATCTGTCACTGCCCTACTGCTGCCAACATGTCAGCATCTTGCCTCTGGGTTCCTCAGTGAGTAAAAGCTTTTGTGCCTGTGAAAAACTGGCTGCTACTCCAAAAAGAATACCTGGGAAGACTTCTTTAGAATATTTCCACAAGGCTCTTCCAGGGATTTCTACAGTGGTAGACATCACCCTTGCAAAGGCTCTTGGAGTTTAAGGTGACGAATCCTGAGTTTTGCTATTTCTTTTCTGCTTATGACTCCTTATCATGGAACAGCCGGCAGCAGCACTGAGCCAGACCAGCTTCAGAGAACAGAGGGCATCAGCTGGTTTTCTTGGTGGGCCAGGCCATCTCTGTACAGAAGGAGCTACGGTTGTTCCACTTCAGGACTCTGGCTGTGGTGGGTATCTATATTTTTGATAGTGGACTTTTGGAGACAAGTATAAGGTACAGTGACCAGGGAACTGCTGACCAACTGAGTTATTCATTCAGGGGAAGATGCTCTGGATTAGAAAGCATAATACTGAGCTGGAGGTTCACTGTGAGGCAGGCAATTTCAGATGCAGTCTGTGGTGAAAGGGCACAGATAGGGATCTAGGAGTTGGGGCTTCGACAGCTGGACAACCTGAGCAAAGGAGTGAGTGGTAAAAATACATCTAAGAGGTCCATTAACGTCCCTCTGCTTGCAAGGCTTAAAGAAATTTCATAGTGAGAGTTGTAAAGGAAGGTTGGACCTGCAATTATTATCTCAAACATGACTTACCACTTACTGGGTAACTTTCACCCACTGGCACCAAGTGGAAAATAAAACAGAGGCTTTATGCAGTGAACAAAAGAAAAGGAAGGACTGGCATCCAAAGAAGTGGAACTTCCAACCAGCTGTTTTAATTTTTTAATTTAGCTAATGAGCCCATTGGGAAGAATATAAAGATATTCACAAGCCTGGTGTTTATAGGTGGCCTTGGATGCTGGAAGGAAGCTAGGACAACTATTACCTGTTAGTGACATAGTCAACGAGATGCTGTTTAAACATGAGGCTCCACTTTTTAATTATATTCATCAGAGATGCCTTAAAGGGCCGCACGTCGATTTTCATCCAGCTGTCAAACACCTTGGTGGGCTCCAGGCTGCACACTTCTTCATAGAGCTTTTCGTAAGAGTCAATTTGTGCTTTGAACTGATGGAGGAGGGGTGGACTCTCTGGGATGCCTTCTTCTGCATGAGCTTCAATCTCCTCCGGGGTAAGGATATGACCATACAACAGAAACTGGCCCAAGACCTCCTTGCGGTCCTCCACGTAGAGGTAGGAATACTGACTGAATGTGTTCCGATAGCCATAGCAGAGGGTCATCATGCTTTGGACCCTCTGCTTGAGCGTGTCTCGCATACTGGCCAAGTCAGCCATGCCCTCCAGGGTGACCTGGAGAAGTGAGAAGATACCAGGGAGGTTATACCGGTGCATGGCAGGATGCTTCAGATGTGGCTGGAGAACAGGTGCTTGAAGATCCTGTACCTGATAGTGGGCAGAGCCATTGTGCAGGGAAAGCCGTGGTACCAGAGACGCTATCCCAAAAGTGCTAGTGACAAGATCTTCAATGATGTCACCGAAGCCACCCTTCACTCCAGATTCCATAGAGGGATGGAAAACTAATTCTGGGATGGCAAGGCTGAGTTGTGCTTCAAATATTGGGGTGAGTCCCGCCTTACACTCTAGAAAACAAGGAAAACACATCAACAGAATGACAATGTTGGGTGAAACTGGCAAAAGAGAAGACTATTTCAAATAACTTCTAAGTCAACGTGTTTCTCCAAAGCATAGAAAAATGGATATGGACTCTTGTCAGGGAAGGTGACGGGGAGTCTTGAGGTTCCTCACTGTGGAGCCACTGATATTTTGGATAAACACATTTTTTGCACGAGGTTCTTGGGCATGGCAGTACATTTACTGTCCTTGTTCTCTGGCCGCAATTCCCAATGACCAGGAATGCAAGTTAGTTTCCTTCCACATTCTCAAATGCCTCTGGGGGCAGAGCTTTCTCTCCTTAAAAAGAGGCAGATTTTTCTTTCCTTTCTTGCTTTCTTTTGTAGAACTGGAAATTGAACTGAGGCCCTTGCACTTGCCAGGCAAGCACTTATTCTACTGAACCATCTCCCTGGCCCTAAGAGGCAGACTTTTCAAAGCCAGTTTCTTACAATCAGACCTTTTCTTCCGGGGTCCTGTAATTCCACTGGCAACCACTAAACAAATGGGGTGAGCTCACCAATGGCCACATAGGCGTGAGAAACAAAGAGGAATTATGACCCCGCCCTTCTTGCTTCTGTCTGAAAACATAGAATTTATTTTAATTTTGTGGTCGTATAGTGATGAAAATTTAAAAAATAGCATGAATAATTCACAAATTCCTGATTACTTGCTAGACTAACTTGCCTTGCTAAATTTAAATCAAGACATAATGTGAAGCACAATGCTTCAAGTAGAAGACCAATGCTTCAACTTGTACCAATAACCACTTATTTTCATGTATCTTTGACTGCAGAAATATTTAGGGGTCTTGGATATTGTGAACAGAAGAGACTTCTCAGTGAAATCTATTGTCCTTTTAGTTCCTAGAAATAGGGCTTTAATTGATTACATGGCCAAATGTTTCCGGCCAATGTGCCATTAGGGGTGGCAAGGAGTTCCTCACCAGTGGGATAGGGGGACCAGCAGTGACGCCATTTCCGGGTTGGACCCCTCAAGGCAGAAGGAGGGGCCTCCTACATATTCAAGCTCTCACCCAAGACAATAGCTCGAATGTGGTCATAGTCTGGCTCAACACAGAATGGCAGCAACATTTGTATAGCCTACTTGGGGGACAGACATGTCTTTCAAGCTATGTTATTGATGGAGTTTTTGTTACTGCGGTTTAGCCACTCACTCTAACTAAATAATGACAGGATCTTCAGAGACATTTAAAGCTATGACCTCGCCTTTAAAATTGTAGAGATCAACACTGAATTTGTATTATAGGACTTCTTATCCCATTAAATGTTTATTTTATCCTGGGGAATACAAGTTTGCCAATAGGACAATAATTATATGAACGTCACATAGTTTTTAAAAACCACCTATAATATTAAATAGTATACCATTTGAGCCATCCCTTATCTGAAATACTTAGGAATAGAAATATTTCATATTTTGGAGTTTAGAATATTTGCATAGACTTTATTGACAGAGTATCCCTAGTCTGAAATGGCAAACTCTAAAATGCTGTGAAACCCGAAATTATTGAAGCTTAAAAACAAGGTTTCATAGCATTGTGAACTTCAACTTTTCAAATTAAGGATGTGCAATGTACCTATGAACTTATGATGCAAAGTGTATGACTATAAATACTGTACAGTTATGAATTAAGAGATCCATCATCATAGTAGATCATTAAAGAACATTGAGACTGTATGAGAGTTTTGCCTCAGGTGCTGACCTGAGAATCCTAATTTCCACACTGGAGATAGCACAAACATAATCCCTTAGGACAGTTTCTCCCTGTCCTACAATATTGGTGAGAGTAAAACATTTTAGGAGGAAAGAGGAGGAAGAACATATCTGGATGAACAGGGTAGCATTTAATCTGCTATTTGTGCAGGATTTGGACTTCGAGAGACAGCAGGGAGGCCAGCTCAAGCCAATGGAACCATATGGGCTTCACCAAACCCAAGAAGTAAAAAACATAAGGTAGAGTGGAAATGAAAAAGATGCTCTTTTTAGGTACTTCCATTTCCCACTCCAACCAGGTAATCAGTGCCTTTAATTTTTATAGCTCCTCAGTCCAGAGACAGCAAAGTTCAGCTTCTACCTCCTGAAAGAATCTGAAAGGTCTCTATTGTGAAGAACAGATGTCCTCCTGTCTTGCTACATGCAAGACTCCATGGAGGGAAGGTAGCTGGTGATCTTGGAGAAAGAATCCCATGTGTTCTCTGCCCTTCTCACCAAAGGACACGTGATATGTCCCACAGCTCAGGTCAGGGGAGGCAGAGAACCACAGGCAGTCCCTACATGCAGATGTACTTTATGCACTGCCTGTACCCATCTGTAGCTCAGGCATCTTCCTAGAGAGCTGCGTGCAGGGACTCCTTGCACCTCCAACATCAGAGGCAGTTTGCAGAGTTCCCTGAAGTGGCCACTTCCATTGCTGGGCCCAGGGAGCAGCTCTCCCACATCGGGCCTGTGCTTCATGCCCTTCAGCATGCTCATCCTAGACCTGGAAGATGACTTTTCCCTTGTGACTCTGCTGGATCCCCTGGATCTCACTACCAGATTTCCTTGATTTGAAAACCCTTGTACTCAGTGGACAGAGACTTCATGATCTCTCCCAAGAAGCCACAGAAAGCCCCACTGGGAAGTGCTCAGCTTGAGTTTTTTTCCTCTGTATTCTGAGGCTAGATCTCTGTTGTGCTTTCTTTCCTGGGTTACATATCTGGAGGTGTCTTATAACTTTTCATTTTATTTCTGTCTTTGAGTTGGACTTGACGTCTTAACTGCTCATCTCACTTTCATCTTTGGGATTCAAAATTCTCACCTCTAACTTTCCATTTTGATGCTTTCAATATGAAGACAACTTTGTTAGACAACTCCAGATATTCCAGAAGTTGAAGACTGAATTCCATGCTTAGTCCTTAACTTCTACCCTTTCTACCTCATCACTTAGCCGAGGCTAGTCCTCCCTGGACCTTTGAGCCTGCATATCTTATTCCAGCTTACCCACCATAAATTCAAAGTCCTTATTTATTTTGAATAGCTTCTAAGGACTCTCAAAGCTTTCTAACCATTCTCTTTCCCTCTGAAGTTGCTTTTTGCTTCTTGTCTCTCTTCCTTTCACACAGAAACTATTCTTTGGCTTCCACTTAACTTGACCTCCACAACTTGTCTGTGTTCACAAAAGGCTACAGAGCCAGAGCACGGGAAGCTTGTGGGTCCACTCCAGAGTCTAGACTGGTGGAGCCCTCCTTACCACCTGCACTTCTTCCTCCTCCAGCTGAGTCACTCCTCTCCTTGATCTTGGCTTGGATTTAATTAAAATTTATGTTTTGGCTTTTGTTGTGGGCTTCACTCTCTTAGAGCCTGGTTTGTCCACTCAAGTTTCAAAGAGTGAGAAATCTTTTCTCTTTGTCAAGTTCAGAAACTCAGTGTTTCTGCTGGTTTACTGTGTATCACTCACAAACTATCCATAGCATTTGGGCAAAATCACAGCACATTTAATTGTATCTCTCTTCAGTACAACAGATGCTACTGATGTACTAACCCACACCCATAGAAAACTAAGTACCGGTATTTTCCAAGAGGTATTTGAGTGAGCACTTGATAGCAAGAAATAATCCATTCTGCAACATGTCATCAATATAGTTAATATAATTCTTCCAGATATTGGAGGCTGGGTCTGCTGAAAACAGACCCAGATTTTCCTATAAAAAAGAAAAAAAGATATGAATCATATACAATAGTATGGGAGAACTGGTGTAAATGTTATTTTTTTTCTGTATTTTAGGGAAGGGCCCACAGGGTGTTCAGGGTCTCACTACTAGATCGAACTCATAGTGATTCTCCTGTTTACAGCCTCCCAAGTGCTGGGATTACAGGTGTGCGCCACCACGCCCAGTCTCAAGCACCAGCTCAGCATGCTGCTGGGGTGGGACTGGCATGGAAGGCATACCCGGATGGAAACCCTGACCCCTGTGCCTGCTTGCAGGTGCTTTAATTTGCTGAGCTATTTGGCTGGCCCTGTAAAAGTTAATAATAAGAATGAGAACAATATGCAGAGAGAAACCCCCATTGGAAGAATTTCCTATTATGGCTCTATTGAGTCCACTCTGTCTATTGGGTATACCCACGAAATGAAAGGAACGTAAAATGAGTCCTTGATGGAAATACGATGTCCTGTTCTGTCCCAGTGAAAGCAGGATTGGGCAGTGCTGCCTTGTCAGAAGGAGCACTGATGTGTGTCATGTGTGTGCACTGTGCAGATGCTGCTGCACTGAACTGGAAGCCACATTAGAGCAGACGGCAGGGTAGGCAGAGAAAGGAAGAATAAGAGTAAAGGGCACTACGATTAAGGGTTCATGAGAAATTTAAGGTGCAAAGAAGTAAAGCACTACCTAGATCATCCTTGGGATGAACTGAGGTGTCTTAGGGTAGGCATTTGAAAATAACTGAATGCATTTTTCATATTGAGTGATTTAGAAAAGCACATACAGATAAGCAAATTTCTTTCATCCCCACTCCCATCCTCCCTTCTTCTCTCCCTCCCCTCTTTCTTTCTTCCTAACCTTCTTTCAAATTTTTCACATGTTATAGCTCCTGACCTGAAGGGTCATTAGCATTACCATAGTAACAAAGTTTGGGCTTCAAGGAGAAGGAGCCCAAGTGTTCAGCAATAACAAGTACAAAAATCTGATTTACCTTTCATTATTTTCATTATTTTCACTTTTTACAGCAGCATTCCAATTATCTGATAGCTTCAGAGGAGGCAGTAACTAATTTGTGGAAGTAACTTTCCTAGATGACTCATGCTGATCCCTTTAGGAAACATTATATTATAAATCTTCCTGGGTTTAAACAGTGTTATGAGCCTGCTTCTAGGTTTTGTGATTCTAAAATTTTTAAGAGGAATTACTAACTCCTTTCCTTACTAAGTAGATTTAAGATTTTAATGGCTTAAACTTTAGCATCTTTAAAATCACATAGTGAGGATGCAGAGTTGCTCATGAGTAGAAAGATGTATGTGTCTATTTGATTCTGCATTAAATAACTTAGTTATAGAACTTTTTATCTCCTTCCAATTATCAGGCTATTAATATAACTGCCTATATTTCAGCTTTGTTTACTAGATCAAATCTACAGTGGTCTAAATAATAATTGAAAGGGACTGGCCAAATAGCTCAGTGGATTAAAGCACCTGCTGGCAGGCACAGGGGCTGGGGTTCGTTCCCCAGGTCTGTTGTGCAGCCCCCACTCCCGGGGTACACTGAGATGGTGACTGAGACTGGGAATGGTAGTGCATGTCTGTAATCCCAACACTTGGGGGGCTGTAAACAGGAGAATCACTAAGGCTGTAACAGGTCTAGTAGTGGGACTCTGAACACCCTGGAGACCCTTCTCAAAAATACAAGAAAAAAAAAAGAATAATTGGAATTTTCTGTGAATAGTTCTCATGGTCTCATTAAAGAAATAAGAATGAGATTGTATTTGCCCTTCTTTCACAATCAGCTAGAATACTGGATACAGTATAAGAGATAATTGCCTTGGAAAATTGAATAATAGGAATGTGCAGGGATATGATTCTAGAGAGAAGAGAAACATTGAAGGTGAGTTGCACATCTAGGTGGCTTTCTAACTGATTGCACTTTCAGAAGCCTGGACTGTGGAGCGTAGCCAAAGCATCTATTATGAAGATAGAGAAGATAGGAATTGGAGTTGGGTCTTCTTCAGTCTTTCACTGAATATTAATTGTACGAGTTTAAGGCAAGGTTGGAAGAACTGGCTGAGAATAGTTTCAGGCTTCTAAATGGAATGTAGTGAGTTAGGTAGGTCATAAGTGTTGGCAGATGTCCATGTTTTGTGAGACATGATGAAAAGACTTTGCAGATATCCAGGAACTTGGGTCAGATCAGAGATACATGATAGCCTAGTAAGCCCCCTTTAGTCCTTCCCCAGAAACCTTAGAAGCAGACCTCAGGAGGACCACTGTGACCCACCAGGAACACTTCTTGAATGTTAGCCAACATTCTAGCACATAATTAAAATGACTAGATATACAAAGAAAGAGACAAATGGAACTTTAGTCTGAAGACAAAACAGTCTATAGGAATAAACTCAGGCAATCATCTGGCTAAGTCTCTGATTTTATAGCTATTATATCAACACTACAGGGCCTACCTAGACTTATTTTCTGGGAAATAATTAAAAACTTCTGTCTAATTAAAAACATTAAAAAGAACAGATTTTAGAATTGGCAGGCAAGAGTGCTATATTTCTGGGGGTCAGGGAGATAGCTCAGTAGTATAGGCGCCTACCTGGCAAGCTCAGGGTCCTGAGTTCAGTTCCTGGTACCTGTTCCCCCACAACAGAGGGCTATATTTCTACAAGAAACAAACATGCAAACAAAGAAAAAAAAAGAAAGAAAAAAAAAAAAAAGAAAAGAAAAACCCTTCCTCATATCTGGTTTAAAAAATTACACCAACAAAACAAAGAACAAACACAGGCTTCTCTTGAGAACTGTTGGAGTTGTCAAGACAAGGAAATGACTTCTGAGAGGAAACTAAAACTATATAGAGTTATATTTCCAATGAAACTATCCTCTAGAAATAAAAGTGAAATGATGACATTTTCACCTAAATACGAAAAGAACATGTCATCAGCAAGCCAAAATTTTAAGGAATACTAAAGAAATTTCTTCAGGCTGAAGAGTCATGACCCAAGATGACAATTCAGGCCCACAGAAAGGAATAAACAAGGTTGAAAATGGTGACCATGTGGGTAAATATAAAGCACTATAAACTGAGTTTACCAAAAATGCTATACACACTCCAGGAAGAGAAAGGCTTGCATGAGGTGTGTGTTGCTCCCATTTATCACCCGCAGACTTTTCTCTACAGGGGACCCTGGAGGATGTCACATATTACAGATCACATCCTCAACTCCCGGGCCTCAGGGGAGATGTTGACTGTGCATGGGCAGCAATCTCAGCAGATACTTTGACCAAGGTGACCAAGCAGCTGGTTTCTATACTAATAAAAGTCTGGAAGCTACTGGCTACCACTCCGAGCCTCTCTTATAAGGACGGAGACCAAAGGTAACTCATATGAATATCATGATTTCTCAGTGAATTTAGTATTTAAATATTTATAGAAGATGTTTTTTCCCTGAAGCATGTGTACATTTTTGGTGGATTATTTTTTCTTAAGAATTAAATGCAAAAGATATACTAATGCCATGCTATAAAATTTAATATATACTAACATGGTAACACATAACATGCTAGTGTCTAGTATATCTATTTATACCCTATATATGACACATAATAATTGTACAAAAGATAGGTTAAGGGGATAAACTCAACAACTTTTGCAAGGTTCCCACATTTATCAAAAGAGTTCTCAGTAGATTGTAATGAGTTCAAATATGTACTTAAACCTAGTACAGCCACTAAAATCATAAACCAACAAGGCAAAGTGAAATGCCAATTGAGAAATTAAAATAGAAAACCAAATCATAGAACTATTCAGCAACAAGGTGGGAACAGAACAACTGAGGAACCAGAAAACAAAAGCAAAAACACTAAAATGAAGCAAATAGAAAACAGAATAAAATGGCATAACTAAATCCCACCATACCAATATTTATTTTGGGTACAAATAAGTCAAAATATCCAACTACAAGTCAGACTTGTTTGACTGAGAAAATTAAATATTGTATGTAAATTATGAAGACAGATTTAAACATAAAAATAGGTTGAATTTAAAATAGCAAATATGGATAACACAAAATAAGAAAGAATAATAAAATAGGAGGGAAAGGTTGAGTTATTAGAAAATGTAGACTTTCAGACTGGGAGGATTATTAGAAATACAAAAGAAATTTCATGATGACATAGCCAAATCATTAAGAAGTTATGATATGACAACTAAAATGTGTTTAGGCCTGGTAACAGAACATGATGAAAATGCATACAAAACTAAAAGATGAATTATATTTAACATCCACAACTATAGGCAATGATTTCAATAGTCTACTTTCAGTAATTGATGGGACATAAAGAAGTCCAAAAGATCCAAACAATACTATTAGGTGCTTTCAGCCAATTCATTTTTACAGAACACTTTACCCAAAGATAGAACAATAGCATTGCTGTAATATGTCCAAGAAATATTCAGTAAGAGAGGCCATATTCTAGGTCAGAGAATGAGTCTCAGTCCCCAGTGATGGAGATCTTATGAAGTATCTTCTCTAGCCAAGTGGAAATCAGATACTGATTTCATCTGTGTACTGTAAAGACAAATTAATCAATACAGTTCTAAAATGACCATCAAGTTAAAGAAATAATAACAAGAGAAACCCATTAAAATTAATGATACAATTTGTGGAATGAAACTAAAAAAATGACTACCTGAAGGAAAATTAGTAACATCAAATTCCTGTAGTAAAGAGAAAGGTTTGACTCAAAAGGTTTGGAAAAAAGATGAAGTATTAGACCTAAGCTAACTGGAGCAAAATAACAAAGATAGAAAGATTAATAAATTAAGAAAGATTAAGATCAATAGAAAAAAACTAACAAAGTGAAGACTTGGTTGCTTGAAAAGATTTGCAATATTTTTAAAAATACTTGTACAGACCTGTATAAAATATTTTAGAAAATAGTGGAGAAAATACTTTCAAACTCATTTTATAAGGCTAGTGTAATCTTGACACCAAAGCCAGATAAGAACAATTTGAATTAATTGACTCCAAATTAATCTATAGCTTAACATTACTCCAATCAAAACCACATCTATTTTTTTCTAGAAATTTGTATGAAAATAAAAGGGAGATCAATGTAATTCATAGACACGGACAAAATCTTTTAAAGTTAGCAAATCAAATTATATAATGTTTAAACATAATCAGGTGGGTTTCTTTCATAAATGCAAGGTTGATTTCACAGATCTTAAGAACAATGTGTTTCATAAGAAAATAACAAAGAAAAATCAACTGCCTCAAGAAGCCAAAATTAATAAAATTTTGCGTTCAAGCGTGATAAAATCTTCCAGTCAACTAGGAATAGAAGGGAATTTTCTGAATTTGATAATTAGCACCTATTAAAATCTTATAGACAATGTCATATTAAATAATTTCCACTCACAAGTTCAGCACTGGACTGGCAGTCCTCGCCAGAACAGTAAGGGAAGAAAAGGAAGCAAGGCATGAAGAATGGAAAAGAGGGAGCAAAATTACCTATTTTGCAAATGACATGACTACATAAATAATAAGAAAATCTAGAAAGTGGCTGTTGTGTCCAGTAAATTTAGAAATAGCACAGACCATATTATCAATATAAAAAATTATTCCTTTATACAGCAGCCACCGGCAGTTAGAAACTAAAATAAAATAAGTCAATGCATAGTAGTACTGCAAAACAGTTACAAATTTAACAAAAAAAAAGGGCAAGACATCTACACTAAAAACTATAAAACATTGCAAAGAAAAATTAGAGACAAAACTAAATGAAGAGACACAGCATGTTCGTGGATGGCTACATTTAAAATTATTAAGAATTTCATGTACTCAAATTAATCTATAGCCTAATATTACCACAATCAAAACCACATTTGTGTTTTTCTAGAAATTGGTAAATTGAATATATTACACAGATGGGTTAAACAATACATCACTTTGAGGATTTGAAAGGCAAAATTTATCTTTCAAAGGCAAAATCTGGCTGAGTGGTACACACCTATAATCCCAGCTTTCGGGAAACTGAGCCAGAAGGGTCACTGCGAATTCAAGACCAGCCTGAGCTATAGTGAGTGAGTTCAAGGCCAGCCTGCACTACATGATGAAACTCTGCCAAAAAAAAAAAATCAAAAACAAAAACAAAAAAACAACCAACCAACCAACCAACCAACCAAACAAACAAACAAAAAACTGCGAAATTTGAGCAATTATCTCTTTCACCTAACTCTGGTTACCTTTAGGTCTGATGCTTTATTGTACTTCATGTCATATCACAGAAAATCTACTTATAACAATTGTGAGTCATTGCTGACTTTTGGTATTAATCCACAGGTGAGGCCCTGCCCTGGCCATGTTAGCCAGCTAGGCATGGGTGGTCCTTTATAACTTTTCTGCCTGCTTTATGCTTTATGCACATAAGGATGCTTTATGATGGGACATGAAGTTGCTCTAATCAATTCAGGGCAGAGGCTTTATGATATGAAGCCTTTCATTTTCTTAACAAATGAAGTTAAGTGCATGGTTCTTGTTCATCTCTCTAAGCTCTAGAATTAGATGATAAGAAAGATGCTAGAGAACAACACAGGCTCTGTGGGAAATTTGGGGATGCAATGCTTAGTGCAGGGTCTAACTTATGATGCTGTCTCTGATAGCGCCTTCTAACCCTGGGGGTGAGCATGAGATTTAAATTGCATGATAGCTAAGTGGCGTCACTCTTAGGATTATGTTATTTTTGACACAATGATACCACAGTGCAACTTTTCATTTCTTCTGTCCCATTGGCTTTAGTTCTTTTGCTATCATTCTTGGCTGCACAAGACAGAGCATCTTTGGTTGTTCTAATTTCCAAATCATTTTTGTACCCAAACGCACTTCTTGGCACTTTTTCAATATTCTATGTACATATATCTAAGAGACTGGCTATTACCTGAACAAGAGCATGAATTTTAAGGCCAGATTCCTTGATGAGACTGTAATATCTTTCAATTTGATCATGTTGGTCATCCAGAGAGAGAAGACATTCCTTTTTCCCATCTTTTCTTTTAAACATTGGAGTCACCCATGTTTTCATGATGTTTTGAATCTCTTCCACATTGTCTTTAGTTTTCTGAATTCTTTGTTCAAGATCATGAATACTATTGGTGATTTGAATAACATAATCCCAAATTCCTGCTCCAACAAAGAACTGTAATTAATTGAAATACTTTATAATGGCATATCTAAAGCTAGGAATTTAATGCTTGTAGATTTTATGAGACTTTTCTACATAGGCTATATTATTATAATGAAAATTATTTCATTTCTAGTTTTATTAAAGAGCCAACCCTTACCATAACCCTGATTACAGAAGATTAAAATGAGGATTACAGAGAAACAAATGGATAATGCTTACAGACCAATCACATAAGAGTTGGTACAGTTGCTAAGGAATAGATATTTTACATTCAGATACCAGTGCAATTTGATGGTCTTATATCGATTAATCAACATTTGGCTCATTCAACATGTTAAATGTTAAACATGTAATTCCTCTTGTATATTGAATAAATTCCTAACTTGTTCAGAATAATGTTCCAGAATTTTCTTGAGTTTCTTATGATTTTTTTTTCTTACCAAACTTTTACTTTTTGGAGGACTGTTGTTTGACTTAATCTCCTACCCTGTAACTCCTCACACTTTATTTTTAAGTCTAGAATGGCTTATTATCATGACTAATCATGCATGACTCAGGTTATATCTATTCCTATTTTCTCCACTACATAGGAGCTCTTCAGCAGTAGAGATCATGTCCTGCCCCTCATAGTCCCCCTAAAGTCTGTCACACAGTACTTGGAACATGTTAACCAATCAATGAAAGTTCATTAAATTGAATTGGGGGACACTAAAGAAATAAATATGTCATTATTTCCTTTAAAATACTTTACAATCTTGTTAAGAAGACTAGATAAAGAGGATCACAGAGTAAGAGCAGCCATTCCTAGAGTGCCCACTGGGTGCTGGGATCTCTGGGGCACCTTATGCAACCTGAGCTTCTCAAAGTGCAGGCGACAAAGTTTCTTGAATCTACCCATCATGACCCCAACAAAGAAAGAAGAATTCTAACTGGTGCCTTATCTTACACAGTGTGTCTGAGCATGGCACGTGGTTATATATCTAACCCAAATCGGATTACCAGGAAATACTTTGAGATCCCATTAACTTCATTAGACCCTTGAGACCCAGTGCTTCTTTCAGGCTGCAGGTGGTGCCCTGTTACCTGCTGTTTTCCAGTTCAGAGTCTCTTCTGCAGCTCTCAGGCAGAGATCAATATTTTGCAGCTCTCCCTCCACTAGGGGAAGTTCCACCTCTAGCAAAGTTGTCATAACCTTGTTGTACCAATTTGCCATCGAATCCAAATTGGCCACAAGCTGCCGATAGAATTCCCTGGAGGATGACAGCTCTGCTGCTGTCTCAGGGATGTGCTTCATAGCTCCAGGCTCAAGATAGCTCATTTCTTTCAGCACCGAAGTCAGCTGGAAGAAAGGATTAACATAAGCGATGATCACTCAGAGATGGTAAGAGAGTAATAGCATCCATCAAGGCCTGGAAAACCCTGGGGCTCAAAGACCTTCGAGCTCTCATCCTAACCTCTGCTCCTATCAGTTTCTTAAATCTAGTCTTCAAGGAAGAAACTCAAGTATCAGGCTGAAAGAAAATGACTCAAAAAGAAGCATGATATATTGACTCTGTGAATCACACAAAAAAAGAGCAAGAGGGACTCCGAAGGAAGAAGACATCGGGGGTGGCAGTGAGAGGCGGTGGCCCCTGCACTCTGGGCCCCGGGCTGCCACTCCCAGCTCTCACTGTAGTGGTCTGGGTCCACTCTGCATTGCTGGCTGGCCTCTACTACTGAGAGTTAGACAAATGCTAGCTTATTATTAAGAATAGCTGCAAAATAATATTGCTTATTTCAATAGCTAAAGATGTTTCATTCAACTTAATAAACTGTAAGAGTCATTATTAGTTTATGTCCAATTGAAGAAAAAATATGGTCTATGAAATTATAAACACATGCCAAATTTAAGGATGTAAATATGTAAAAAAGATAGTTCATCTGGAATCAATGAAATACAGACTGATGAAATTGGAACTGAACTTAAATATCCAAAAATAGAGTAGTAAGAACTTTAAATACATATTTTACACAAATTTAAAAAATCATTTAACCTAATTCTTAGCCTGCTACCAAAGAGGCAAATCTCTGATCAGTTTTCTCGACTGATCAGTGTGCTACTATTCCTTATTAGCAACACTACTGTAATCACATTACTTGAAGTTTATGTCAGGGTTGATTATAGACTTGTGTTATCATAGTTAACCCTCCTCAACCTCAACCCACACTGCTGTTTATATTTATCCCTTTCCTTCCTTCCTTTCCCTTCTTTTCTTGGTCATTTTCTTTGTTTTCCTTTTTAATTTATTTTATGGATTTTGTACAAGGTCTCACTGCGCAGCAGCTCAGACTTGTAGTGATCCTCCTGTTTTCAGCCTCCCCAGTGCTGGGATAACAGATGTGCACCACCACACCTGGACTCTGTGGCAGGCTCAGTGCACCTGGGGGTGGGGTTAGCATGGCACGTGGCTTGGGGGATCAAATCCCAGGTCCTGCGCTTGTAAGCAGGTGCTTAGTCTGTTGAGCTATCTCCTTGGCCCTTGGTCATTTTCTTCTGATTGCCTATAAACACCTATAATGTCCCTACTATGTGCTACACATCAGGGAAAATGGTACACTAACACTTTGGGTATATAGAGGAGGCCAGTGTCTCTTGTGTCTTACACCGAAGACTTTATTACTCTATTATAACCTGAAACTATATTATGACATGTAATGCATATATTCTCTTTCTGTGTTTAATATTCAATATTGCTTACATAGAATGCTGATGAAATTGCCCCAAGTAGTTAAGAGATTGAAATAATTATTCATGTCTTGCCAAAGTGAAAAATAAAACAGGTCTTCTAACTAACTGTATTGACTTTGACTTTAGTGGGAAGAATTAATATTCTACTGCAATATTCTCAAAAGACACCAATATATTATCAACTGTGTATTCTTAGAACACTTGCCAGTAGGACATAAGTAGGTGAGGGCTTTTTGTTCAGTGCAGCCTGCATGATACACAGTGATAGAGACCAGCCTTGGCTTATTGCTTACTGAAGTCTACATTGACCTCTTCCACTGCTGCACAGTGAGAGTAGGGGCTCTACTGGTAACTAGTAACATTTCCTGACAAGTTACTGTTTACTGTGGGCCACCATACAGGCATTGTAAGAAGTTACAGGCACCCTCATATTAACCCATGAGATGCTGATGACATGCCCTCCAGGTTTGACAAACAAAAATGTTTCCAGGTAGCCAGATAAAAACCACTAGGCTAGAGTCTTATTTCCAAAGCTACTCTGAAAGTTATCATATGCTATGTAATGAAAACAGCATTTTCATGCTTAGACTCTGACTGCCTTAAAGACAGGAGCCAAGTCTTAAGGACATACACTTGAGGACATCCAGCATCTAGGCAGTGATCTCTGTATATAAATGATTATTTGTTGTTGGTGTAGTACTGGGGATCGAACTTGGGACCTTGTGCTTGTCAGGCAGGTGCTTATGCTGCTAGGCTATCTATCTGGCCCAATCTGTGCATATAATAAGCATTCAGTGTAGGTCTGGAGTATTTGTTACTAAGCAGTCAATGATACTTAACCACATCCTCCTAAGCCACATAATGATGCCTCAGTCAGTAATGACTGACCTGTACATCTTGGCTCCATAAGACTATATCACCTAGTAGCATTGTAACTGTCTTAGTTCCTGTAACACTATGATGTTCGCACAATGGTAAAATTTCCTAGCAACAAATTTTTCAGAACTCATTTCTGCTGGTAAGTGACCTATGTGTGCATTTCCTATTGTACAAAATCAGAACAAATGTATTGATCAACTCTAAAGAAAAACACTAACCTGAACCATTTAAGAAAATGTTGCCCCTTAGGATTCATACTTCTGAAGAAAATTCTTTGGAGCAGCTTTTACAAATTCTTATGAAATCCTTTCTTTCTTTAGGACCCTAATGGGAAGTGACTACCACCCAACTGACCTGTGGGTTGAAGTTGACAGTGATCCGCTTTGTCTGAGGCTCACGTTGCAAAAGTGGTTGAGAGAGGTTGTACTGTGATTTCTCTGACACTGACTGACACCAGTCTTCATACAGCCTTGTCTCATAGCTGCAATGAGCAGACACAACAGTCACTTTACAGATGGTCTTCCCGCTCCTCCACTCCTGGTCATGCTTCAACATGTGAGCTGAACAAACAGTTACTGATCTAGCCAGCCTGGGTCATATCCTGGGGCAGGTAACCACTGATTTTTAAAGGTGGCATCCTTTACAGTAATACAGAAGATTCCATGTGATCTTTGGGCAGGAATAAAGGAAGTTGTGCTTAGTCTCTGAATATTGAAGAGGTTCCTGGATAACTTTTCTCTCACACACATCTTCATGTAGCTCACAGACATTCATCATTTATTCATTACATTGACTGAACACCTCCACAGGCTGGACTTGGGGAATAAATCAATGAATAAATGCCTCACAGTAAATGCAGCTAAAGAAGAGGACTTTGGAAAACATTGCTGTGATGCAAGGTGGCAAGCACCACCCTAGAAACTGCCCAGGGCCTGAGACATCTAAGGGCAGAGGAAGGAGCTTGGAGCACAGGTAGAGGCAGAGCATCAGAGAGGCAGTGGCATGGTGTTTGTCTGGGGTGAGACAGTGAGGAAGTGAAAGCATCTCTCTCAAATGCAGCAGCATCATTGGAGGGTGACACGGCATGACTGTGTGCTGCAATCAATGTGAGGACAGAAGGTCTTTGCCTGGGGATGGTGAGAGGGACACAAAGGCCACATCCAGGTGGAGATTTCATGTTACACTATGGAGAAAGGTTTCCTGCCAGTAGGGGATGTGGTGACACTGTGGATTTGGAACAGTGTGGGTCGTCAGGGGCACAACCAACAGCAAGGAGGACACTCAGGAAACTGCTGCAGCAGCTCAGGAGAGAGAATATCCAGTCTCCCATGGAGACTCTGGTGATGAAGACAAAGAGGACAGAGTGTTGTGAAGCTCTCTGGGCCACAGGAGGGATAGAGCCTGGCTTACCTGGCAAGTACAGGTGCCAGCACTTGATTTATCTAGCATAAAGCCTAGCAAAATCAGCATCAGAGCCATGATAGCTACTGTCCTGTCTCGTGAATCAGGAGACAAAGCCAATGGCAGAGAAAGAAGTGAGACCATAGGCTGATTTCCAGATCTTGAACTTTCAAAAGTCCTACTCAGCTTTCAATAGGGAACAATGATGAACGAATATAAAATTGGCCTTCTTAGGCTTTCTCCGTAAAGGGTTGCAGGAGGCACTTTGGAGACATTTCTTCTCAGTGCAGACTGACTCTTGCTTTTTGTGTGGTGGGAAGCTGCTGCGAGGTGCTCATTGCTGGCCTGCCCCCCCCCCCACACCTTGTAGCACCACATGGCTTGTGCAGGGTCCCTGCAAAGCTGCACTGGGAAAGCATCTGTGTTGAGAACAGAACTTCTTTCCCTATAGACTTTGTATGCGCAACCCAGAAATACTGTCCTCACACGTACAGAAGCCAGGACATAAAGCACACAGTGTCATTTCATAGCTCCTAGGGAATTTGTGCAAACCCCAGGATGGCAAAAGGCATTGTTGGGGAGGGGACTGTATTGTCGGAGTGAGGCAATCAATCCCCAAAGCTGCTTACCTTTCCAGCAATGAGCACATAGATTCGTATTGTTGTATCATTCGCTTTCCTTCAACAGATTCCATGCAACTGTCCATGCACAAGAGAAAAAATGATATAGAATCAGAAGAAGGCAGAATAATGATCCAAGGAACAAACTGCAGCCTGTGGAGGCTGAATGGCTTCTGGGGCTGGATCAGAATGTTCCTGAAGGTGCTCGTGTTCTTCTCAAACACCCTCCTCAACCCACTAGAGGGCACCTGCACTTGCTAAAACTCAGGCAGCCCCACAGGTGATGAGGGTGTTAAAACTTTGCCTGCTCAGGGCTATGCCAACCTTTCGCCTAGTTGAATCAGTCATGTACAAGGTAAGCAAGGTAGGGGCGGGGGAGATGGCTCAGTAGAATAAGAGCTTGTCTGGCAAGTGCAAGGGCCTGAGTTCAATCCCTGGTTCCGCCAAAAAACAAAACAAAACAAAAACAGGTAAGCGAGGGCCCTCAACAATCTAAATACAAGGGAAATTAGAATATTTTAAAATTCTAGGTGGTATACTTTTCCATATTAGAGAAAAAAACTATGAGCTACATAACATTATATACATATGTACATATATATAAACATACCATACAAGTATATATAATATCATATATATATATATATATTTGTATACAACAATATATAGATAATTTCCTGTCTTTAAAATTTGTCTAAGGCATGGGCTGGGGAGATAGCTCAGCCTATAGAATAAGACCTTGCCTGGCAATTTTAAGGTCTCGAGTTTGATACCTGATGCTGCAAAGAGAAAAAAGTGTCAACAAAATTTGTCTAAGGTAAATGATAGGGGACATTGTTACTCCTTGAGATGTTATAAGGTCCCACCCACCTGTCACCTTCTAATCATGTGTACATGCAATGCACATACATGAGCATGCACTGAAACATGTGTACACACATACATGTGGTTTTTCATGAACACACTTGTGTGTGTGTGTGTGCGCGCATGCGTGTGCAGAGGCTTCTGGGAATGTTCAAGGTTATAGAGGAGAGTGGGCTGAGTCTGGCCTCAGATGCTGGTACCCACAACTTTTCCCCCTGGTTTTGACATGTGCTGAAACATTAAATGAAAGTCCAGCTCCTGGGACAATTGGTGAAGTATCTTTATTTTTCAGAAACCTTCACATTACCTGTGTGGAGTCTGCATTTGTCCTGCTAGAAAAATGAGAGAGCTTATTGCAGAGTCTTTAAAATCCATTTGCTTCTCAAATCCGACTGAGCCCTTGAGCCATCCCTTAAGCCCTCTCTCCTCTCTTCAGAGGAAGCCGTGCACTCCAAGTGGCTGCGCTCCCTTCGAGTGAATATGCAGGCGCATCAGGAAGCAGGAAGAAGTGGCAAGTGCCCCAGACTGGCTGGGAGGCCCACGCCTAGCCCTCCCCTCACACACTGTGGGATTTCCATAATTCACACAACCCATAGATCTCAAATTTTGTATTAGGCAGAGAAAAAGGCCAGAGTTTTCCTGTGGAGTATGTGGCAGTTTCTTGGTGGGTCTGAGAAGTCACAGGAGACGGAACAGCCTGACTCTCTGTCACTTCTGTTTCACTTCATGGCAAGGAATCCAGTTTAATTGAGTAGCAAATATATATTTGTACAGAGCCAGAGAGCTAGCTCAGTGGAATAAGTGCTCGCCCGGCAAGTGCAAGGTCCTGAGTTTGATCCCTGGTACCACCAAAAAAAAAAAAAAAAAAAGAGAGAGAAAGAGAGTATGGTACACACTTGGATTCATTGTGAAAACAAATGGGGATTTTCATGGGGTTTGTGGGCATTGCCATAACCTGCCATCCATACCCCCTGTTGGGACCAGGCTCTCTGACTACCCTCAAGCCCCTCAAATCCAGCTCAGTCACTGGTCAGCCATGCTGGCTGTAGATGCAGTATAGCTGCTTCTCTCTCTGAGGCTAGCCTCAGCCAAACACAGACACCTTGCTCCAGATTAAGCTGCTCTCCAGGAAAGCCCACAACCCAGGACTGGCCAATGTAAGGGCACAAAGTGGTCAGTTGACTGAAGCCTTGGCTATGGCTGTCCAGCAGCCCAAGCTCTCCCCACACTCCATCCCTTTGCCTGCTGTCCCTCATGGGTGCTGTTCCTGAGAACATCCTTATCAATTCCTGCAGGTACACCTCAGAGTTCCTGGTTCCTGGCAATGAGATTGGTGATAGCTGTGTAGTCCACATTCCTGAAGGCAGCCCAGGCATCCTTCCCCACCTTTATACTTTTTCCTTCGAGGGAATTTCTAGGAAGTGTGAGCACTTGGCTCTTCTACCAGCCCAACTTTCTGTTGCTGAGCACCCCCGGAAAGAACTCTGGGCTGAAGGAAGAGACTCAGATATTTTTGAAACAGTTCAAAAACAGCTCTGTTTTTGACACCTTAGGCAAATAACTGTACTTCTCTACTCTTCCTTTCTTTGCCAGCGGGATATAAAGCTTTCCTATTAGGTCCTGCACAAGGTTACAACTTGGAGACACCTTTCTCAGAGACATGCATAGTTAGATCTGTGCTGTTTGGAGAAAACAGAGCATTTCAGTCGGACATCCCACTTTAAAATGCAAATTTAGAGTTTCTCTGCAACATGAAGGAGATAACCCCCCCCCCTCAGGTTGCTTTCTTAATCAGTGACACTTCAGTGGTGAAGTGACAGCCCCTCAATATCCTATCCTGCTGTCTCACACCCTCCTGCTTGTGTAGCTTGCTCTGGCTTTATTATTTTCCAGTAGCCTTAGCATCCAAAAAATATTTTGTCTGAGGGAACTCTGTGGAAGACCTCTGCAGAACTTGCAACTTCTGACTCATTTTCTTCAGAAGAGTTCCATGAAGCAAAAGGAGTGAGTCCACAGTGAGTTAAACTTCGTAATGCACTTGTAGTTTTTAGTATTGGGCCTGAGGTTCTCTGCGATTCTTCCTAATTCCACAACTGTGTTTTAACAATGGACAGTTCTAATTCTTTGCTTTTGTTTTGTTCCCCAAAGCCAAGTGCTTTTAATAAGATCAAGTGCTTTGGAAAAATGGAGCAGAGGAAGAGTGCTTGGCCCTAGATGGTATTCCAAACATAAAGACCCAAACAACTCCTTTCACTCATGCCTAGGCAGCTGAGAGGTCTCCAAGTATATTGGCTTTTAGACTCACTCATATAGCAGGCTCATGCTTTCTTATTCTGATCACCATCAGAATGATAGGAGGAGTATACCAAAAAGCAGTTACAGTCCAGGCCTATTTCAGACTCGGTAGGTGACAAGAGAGGCCCAGGCATCTTTACTTCTCCCAGGTAGTCCTTATACTGCTCTTTACAAAACATTGGCTTCCCCATTTTCTAGCAGCCTCAGTTGCAAAAGAGACATTTCATCTGAAGGAAGACTGTGGAAAATCTCAGCTACAGTCCTAGACTTGGCTCCCCTCAGAAGTGAAGCCCAGAGAGCAAAAGCCAGCCAGGCTGTGTTCAGTTAGACCAAAGAAGGATGTGGCCCAGCCCCAGTCCCAACATGCCAGTATCTTTACTGCTTAGCCAATAGCTAGCTAGGCCATTACTGGATATGGGAAGAAATGAAGCTGGTTTTTATACAGTAGTCAAATGATCTGCAGTTCTGCACTCAAAGCACAGAGTGAGGCACTCAGCAGCAAGATACTCACGGGTGTGTGATGCGCCTGAAGTTGCTGAAAGGGCCCTGGATGCGCTGCCTCAGCTCCTGTGCCCAGCGGAGGCTCCCAGCCAGGGTGGGCATGTTCTTGTGCACTGGCAAGAACCCTGGGTACACAACACGAGACTGAAGCAAGACCATATGAGTCTCCCAAGTGTTCCCTCTCCAGAGTGCCTTTGTGCCACAATTGCTGCATCTACCCTGAGGCTAAAGTCCCCCTGGGCCCACCCTGAGGAATCCTTGGGTGGTCTCTATGCTTCTTGATGTGGAAGAAGAAGGAGTGACCCAGAGGTAAAGGCCATGGTTCCTGCTGAGCCATTGTAATTTAATTGGCCTGGATTCCCTAGGCATAAGTACTTAGAAGCTGTGGCAGTGGAAGGAAGAAGAAACTTTTGTCAGGCACGCAAAAATCAACTGTGGATTAAGCTATGTTGAAGAGTAACCGGTGTGATAACATTGATCAGGGCTCGGCTCATACCTTATGCCACAGTCACAAAACGATGTGGGTGGTCAAGGGCTTACTGCTCTGGACGAGCTTGCCCATCTCAACCCCAGACACAGACAAAGCAATAGTTCAGTGAACCCTACAATTGCCCAAGATGGTCTGGAATTTCAAGCAAGAGGGTGGCACTTGTTTTTCTTGGAGAGTGCCCTAGATCTATATGTGCACATTTAACAAGTACAAGAGGGGTGCATCATACCCTTCTTGGAGCACAACTGCCCACATCAAAATCCCCTGGCCCCTGGATCTACCAAGCTTTGCCTCCTGGATGTGCTGATTGTAGATTATCCTGACTGCATCTAGGTCTTTGTTGAACATCCTGATGAGCACAAGGTATTTATCTGATGTGTCTTGTGCTACCAGTGGTCTTTCAAGGAGGTTTCCTGCTATGTCGAGCAGCTATGGAGGAAAAAAAGTAAGATGTCACAAATGCAATCTTTCCAAGGTTACACAAATCCCATCGTTTAGTTCTTCTTTCCTATGGCTACCAGTGCAGGGGAGAGAGGGTAAAACTGTTATCACAGAACTGGAGCAATAGTTATTAGCATGTGGATATTTATAATCTTTCCTGATCTGTGCTTCTAAATAAAAAGGACTTCTGTCTGCTGGGTAACTGACCAGTCTCTCTTGTCTTGTAAGAATCTGAAGAAAAGGGAAACTAAAGATGGAAGAAATGCTCACCTGAGTTACATGATAAAGATCTGAAACGGAAGGATGATGGTGACAGAAAAGAAAGAAGCTAAGCTAGCTGAACACTGGGGAGAAGTTGCAGGGTTGAAAGCCGAGAGTAGAAGCAAGAAACATGTCCCAGGAAACGGTTGCTAGGAGAGTGACAGTGACTATGAGGATAATCTGAAGCGTTTCACCTGTGCCGTTTAAGGTGCCCTAGTTTTGGGGTGTTCCGTAAGGCAGTAGAAATAAGATGTGGAATGGTTTAAATTACTTTTTCGTTCTGGGTTGTGTTTCTCTGATTGTGATGCTGTTTTAAGACTAAACCACGTTTGGATCTTAGTTGTATTCAAGATCTATCAATACACTGCTTTTAAACGTGTCTTCTATCATACGGTACTGTACGTACTCCATGCTTCTGGTCAAAGACTGAAGGAACAGCCAGTCATTGGATAATCAAACCTGGTCCACAATCTCAGCCACTTCTAAAAAGGTTATTTAAAAATAAATAAGAAGAATACATGATGTAGAACATGTATGCACAGTTTACTATAAGTATTCTCTAGCTCTCTGCAGAAAATCACTAGCCAGACCTTGATTTAAGTCATCAAGGACAAGAGACACAAGATCAAGAATACTTCTACATATCCTAAAACCAGAAGCTGAGCAGACATCATTTGTCCAAGACCTCATCCTCAATATTATCATCTTATTTCACATCGGGCCATTTCTCCATTTCTTTAAAGTTTTTCAAGGCTTAAGGTGTGGGCGGCAGGAAAGCCACAGATGTTGTTTGGTGTTGGGCTCAGAATCTGAGATGGTCCCAGAAGATCTGGATCCCTGGGCCATGTCAGGGGATATAACTGAGTATAGAAAAGAGTCCGTTTGGGGGATGCAGGGTCTTAGATCAGATATTTCTCAGGTAAGACAGATTGAAAGGTTTCAAGAAGCTTTCTACCAAAAACTCTAACATCATGTTTTCTTCCACAATAATCACCAGATTCCCCATATAAAGGTAGTTCCTCCATGGTGGAGGTATAAGAGATTAGTCCCATGGCTCAAATCCTGTTGAGAAGTGAGACACTTGGGCTGAGGACCCCCATGGCCAGCCCACACTCGGACCCAGGGGCTCTGATGTGGGCATACTCTGGTTGGACCTCCCCTGCAAATACACTGAGTGGTGGGATGATCTCGCAGCAGTAACAGGGAAATCTGAGTTTATATCTAGGCTTGGTCCAGCCTCTACTGCCTGAATCTGAGAAAGCATTTATTTTCATGAACTTATATTCATTCCAACTTATGCCTTCTTTGAAGGAAGAAGAATTTTAGTTTCTTGCTGGTGAGACGGCTAAAAGATGGAAACAGTAGGTAGGAGAGACTGAATAGTGCTGGTTTTCCTACCAGCACTTTTCCTACAGCTTTTCTATAAGCTGGTTTGGGAATGGAAGAGAAAGACTTTGTCTTTATGAGAAATCTTTGAGACTCTTAGACAAAAGGTGCTCCTTCAAAGACCAGGTTGGAATGGGCCTTTTCTTCTGCCCACAGCCCTACACCAATAAAAATTTCAAGGATTAGAATTTTTAGAATTCAGTAAGATGCACTCAGCATAAATGTGGATATTCTCATGGTGGGAACCAGCCAAAGAAGTAATACAGCTGCTTTAAACACCTTCCTGGACAGATGAAATTTCCGCGACAGACTGTGGCATATAGCAGAGACATGAAATTTCAAAAATGGAGCAACTTGAGAACAGACGGAAGGCACCTACGGAAGATTCCTGGAAATTCATGTGCAGAGGGATTCGTAGCATGAGTGGGCTGCATATTCTCAATGCAGGATGAGAGTTGCCGATGCTCAACCTCTATGGTAGCAATTGCAAAGAGTCATGACACTTAATTGGCATATAGAATGATTTTATAGACACATGTAAGACCTTTTCTTGGTATTCCATGAAATGCTTGAAAAAGGAATACTAGATGCCTTATTAAGTAGGCTATGAAAGAAGAGGCATTTATTAAAACTTACAGAGAGAGAGAGAGAGAGAGAGAGAGAGAGAGAGAGAGAGAGAGAGAGAGACAGAGAGACAGAGAGAGACAGAGAGAGAGACAGAGATTGAATGGCTAATAAAACCAGGCACTTAATTACTTAATCCAGGCACTTGGATTACTTAATATTTGAAATAGCATAGATTGCTCCATCCAGGGTTTAAGCCTTTCCATGATTGTCCCCCAGTCACCCAGTATCTGTTTGGACATATTTAGTAAGTGAAAACTTAACTTCTTATCAAGGAAGCCCAAATCATCTTAAACAGTTTCGACAGAAATTTCTTTCCTGTATTGAACCAATCTGGTTTCCTATAACTTCCTCCTGATTATAATCCTTGTGGGTGTTTAGAGTGAACCACTTCATACTTAAAGATGATTGCAGGAGATACTCTTCACCAAGTCTTCATACCTCGCCGCTCTGCATTCTCAGCTGTGCAGCTATTTATGCCCTCATTCGTGTCCTACCTTCCCCACCACTCTTTTAGGGTCACCTGATCTAAGCAAGACAGGGTAAGAGCATAAGTCTTATGCTACTTACTAATGCCCGAACCCTGCCATCCACTACCTGGCGTGGTAGTTGGTATCTTGTCACTGTGATAAAATACCTGATCAAATAAACTTAAAAGGAAGCAAGATTTATTTTGGTTCATGACTGCAGAGGCTTCAGCCTGTGGTGGCTGCCTGGTTGAATTTCCTTAGCCTATGATGCTGCAGAACAGCATGCAAGGAAGCCCATGGTGAAGCAAGCTGCTCACGCCATGACAGCCTGAAGCAGAGAGAAAAGGGGAGCAGAGGTTCCAACACCCCCTCAAGGACATGCCCCAGTGTTTGTTTCCTTCTACCAGTCTGTTATGGTTTGTGTCTAACTGCGCCCCCCAAAACCTCATACAGTCATGGGGTGGCTTCTGGAGTTTGTGATTTATTTTTGATCCAATGCTGTGATTATGGGTGTGAGTGCCCTGGGGCAGGTACTCTGCATTACAGTGTAAGGGAGCCTAGCTAGCTGCCTGAGCTTCTGCCACTCCCTTTGCTTTCTGCTCTTTGCTGCCACCATGTAAGATTGCTCTCTGACATATGCCACTCTGCCTTGGAGCCAGCTGAGTTTATAGACTGAAACCTCCAGTAACTGGGAGTTCCATAAACCTTTCTGTCCTTCATTTTGGTGTCAGGTATTCCCGCCATGAGAGAATAGTAACCAAGACACAGGCTCCACTTTGTAAAGGTTCCACCAGTTCCCAGTAGCAACCTGAGCTGGGGATCAAGCCTCCAACATGGTGGGGGAGGGGTAGTGCTTAAGATCCAAAGCATGAGTCATGGGAATCTGTTTGCCCCGTCTTTAATCAAGCTAGCAGCAATGTTTAAACAGAGGTGGTACTGCAGAGCATAGTTTCAGGATACAGATCACAGTTGACATTTTCTCTTTCAAAGGTTATCTTATTGATAAAGGCAGAGCACTGCAGGAAAAGCTCTTTTTAAAAAGAACTTGTATGTTGTTATGCTTTCAGAAAAGTATAAGCGATTAGTCTAAGAAGCCCAGCTCTGCATACGTCCTTGCCCTCGAACATTTCCATTCCTCTCCACCAGAAAAAGAAGAATATTGACAGGAATAATACTGTTTGCATGTATCCCTACTATTCCGTCATGAGGGGAGGGGCAGTGTCAGCACAGGTGGCTCCTGCCCTACCCGTACAAACCTTAAAGGCATGCTCCAGGTCAGGTGTATCATCAAAGGCTTGAATAAAGATGGTTGCCAATCTCCGGTCAAGATCTTCTACCTTCTGGTTAAATCTAGAGATGTCATTTTCAAATTCCTGAGGAGAAAACATGATTTTTCTGAAGACCAGTCCCAAGATGCTCTCTATTATCACCTTGAACTTAAAACAGTCACACCAAAGAATTATTTTAATTCTTGAAAATCTACCATGGTGTGACTTAGTTTTATCCAAGTAGAAAGGTACCCTGTTTCTGCAGCCTTTTTACTTTCATACTGTAGACAAGATGACACAGTGAGTCTCCTGTGAGCTTGGCTCCCTTTCATTTTCCTTCTGGACCCTCTGTCCCAACTCCCAAAGCCACTTTTTATTTCACCCACAAGGTCCGTTCATATTACCCTAGAAGCAACAGCTTAGGGGCCATTCTAAAATTGCCTCAGGGCTTCCTCCCCAAAGTCAAAACCCCATTTCTTTCATTGTAATTGAACTCATCTAGCCATTAGTAGGAAAGTTAGCTTATTAAGTAAATGTGTACTGTTTCTTCACCATGTACCTCAATTGGTTAAGGCAGCAACTAGCCGTTGTTCCTAAGGTTGCTAAATTTATTGAATAAAAACACAGAGTACCCAATTAAATTTGAATTTCAGGTACACAATGAATCGTGTTACTACAAGTATGTCCCAATGATTGCATTTTAACTTGCCTTCTTGAATTTGTTTCTTTTCTTAGGATGAAGCAATGTTCAAGGAAATTTCAACTCAAATCTCTGATTTGTGTGATTATTATTTATAATTACTATTTTACCACAGTATATTTTTATATATAAAAAAGTGGCAAAACAGTACAGTTCTTCCTCAAACCCAACCCCACTGATGCTGTGTTATAGTTCTTTGTACTATCCCACCCCCTCACATTGTGTGAAGGATTTTGTTTTCTTCTACTATATGGTGGCAAACCCATAGCATAGAGCCTGCCTTGCAATGCAGCTTTGCTTTTCTACTTTTGAATCATAGAATTTTGGGAAAGTGGGCCTTCCCTGGGTCTGGCCAGCTAGGATTCTCCTGGATATTGGAAGATGTTCATAGCAGGTTCCTGCATCATTTCTTTCTCTGTTTTCTTCCTGTTCTTTTAAAATTTCTTCTTCAGAAATTCTATCATTTGTTTTAGTGAATTCCACCCCCTGTTTCCATACTGGCCCTTGTTCTGTTTTTCTCCTGTGCCTATTTTTTCCCTCAGTTCTTGGCTTTGAAGACTTTAGGTGAGATATGGGCTAGAAAATGCATCCCTGGTTTTTCTTCAACTTGAGGAGAAGGTTTAACTTGCCTTCCCTGACCACTGATAAACTGACTGTGTGTGCCTGGTCTGTACTCAGCAAGCTCTGCTCAAAGCTTAAAACTTCCTTTTGCAATTTTATTGGAGTATATTTGGCAAATAGAAATAGTATATGTTTGAGGTGTAGCACTTCATCTTTTGAGAAGTGTACACTCTGGGAAATAATCAGGGCAACCAAACTGATTAGCACATCCATTGCCTCACTGAGGCGTAATGTGTTTCTTTAAGTGTGAATGTTTGGGGCGGAGTGGTTCTCTCTGCACTAACTTCAAACATACAAGATATCATTAGCTGTCATCACCATGTTGCATAGAAAATCTCCACTACTTCATCTTGCATGACTGAAACTGCATACCTTTTGATCCACACCTCCCCCTTTCTCTTTCTCCTTTAGCCCTTGGCTACTACCACTAACTTCTGATTTGACCATTTTAGAGATTATATACTAGTGAAAGCAGGCAGTATTTGTCTTTTTATAGCTGGCTCACTTCCCTTAGCTTACACTGTTGAAGCCACATGGTGGCCCCAGCTTCCTTTATCATCTCATGCCTGTCTCAGCATCTCTGATCCCAGGTATCCTTATCTGGGGAGAGTAGTGGTTGGGAGAAACATTTTCCAATTTTTTCTTCACATAAAGAAGAAATAGAGTCTTTTGAATGACACAGGAATAATAAAAGATTCTCCTTGACACAAATGATAACTAATAAGAAGACAACCACTGAGACCACAGCAGCAAAGAAAATGCACAGAATACACAAGTAAATCTCTAGTCTTACAGGCTAGAGGCATCTGAGAAAGGACCAAAGCTTCCGATGCAGCCCTTGCAGGCCCTACCCTGCTGTGGGGGTCCAAGCAATCATAGGAGTACTCAGAGAAGACTTTGTACATCTCCTGGAACTCCTCGTACATTTGGTGCACCTGCTGAGTCAGGGCGTTCCCCCTGATGCCACTAAACTCCAGTTTTTCCAGTTTGTGGAAATCCAAGGCTGTCTTCAGAAGATCCTATGGAGACAATTCACAGAAGAGTTAAAATGATAATAACCATCATCACAACAACTGTGGATGAGAAGAGCTAGAAATCATATGGGGGTGGGTGGTTGCTTAGGAAAATGTGATGCTTGATTAGTTTTGTAACCTTATTATTAGATTGGATTGGTAAAAATAACTCTTGGTTAACTCAGTAACAAAGCAAATAGAAAATGCAGACAAATAAGATTCACTGATGCCGAGATAAATGAATAAACAAACAATGAAATGTATGCTTCAGTTTCTCTTGGTGTTCTAAAATAAAGTCTAAAATGTAATAATAAAATTATTTACATGATCGGTGTCTTTGCTATTCACTTTTATTTAAACAGCCAGTTTCTGATGGGCCATCTTATTTAGGTCTGAAGTGACAGTTGTTTAGGAGATGTGGGTAGGAAAACAGACCCTTTGAAACTTGAAGGGCTAATCTGGATGGTAACACCGGCCTCCGTAGCAACGCTATCTGCCAAGGACAAAGGTCTACCAAGAGTCTGTGCCTGGTGCGCCATGTTGCCAGCCGGGCCACAAAGCGCAGTCACTTACCATCTCGGTGTCCACGTTCCCTTTCTTGTAGTGCATTTTACAGTGCGCATATGAGAGCTAAGCCAACAAACGCAAGGTTTAGGCTCGTGCTGCGCATGCAGTATGCATTCCCATCACTGCTGTTGATGTGGCAGCACTCCAGCTGGGCTCAGGATTGCATGACAGGATTACCCAGAAGCCTTGGGAAGGAGTCCCTCCCACACCTCTGGAAAGCACTTGGCCTAAGATGGCACAGGAGCCTCCTGAGCTTGTCTAACAGGGCAGGCTGAATTTATCCCTGTGAGTTCCTGTCTAAAAGCAGAAACTCTCCAAACCAAGATGTGCTTCCTGTCAGGCGTTTCAGTCTATGTACAGAAAAGACAAAGGTGCGGGTCACATTTAAATCATTTCGGGAATCATTCTGTGTGGACCCCTAGAAGGGGGTCCTGTACCCTGAAGAGGTTAGAAGGGCAACAGCCGTTCTGATAGCACTCTGAAAAATTTCCAGTGGTCACTGCTTGGTTGGCTTATCAGACTGGTACAAAGCTGTGCATTTCCTTTCTTTCTCCGGGACATAAAGTCAAACAGTGGTGACGGAAACATTAGAAGTGGGATGACACAGCTGACTTCCCCCAACTTTTCAGATTACCACACAAACTTGGGTCACCATCAAGCAGTCGCCTTTGTGCTCAGCTATGTTGGGGTGCAGGTGGCAGCAGTGACAGGGATGAGGAAAGAAGGTGCCTGTGAAGAAAAGTATATGCAGTAAAACCAGGGCTCTTGCTATCTGTGGTATGGGACAAGGTAGTTGCTGTTTAAAAGTGCTGGAAGAAAACAGAGAAACAGTTCCAGATATCATTATAGAAAACAGGTTTTTTGTTTGCTTGTTTTGTAGAAGACCTTACCTCAAAACCACAGGAAACAGAAGCAAACATAGACAAATGGGCCAAAGTAAGAAGTTTCTGCTCAGCCAAGGAAATGACAGATTGAGGAGGCAACCTATGGGAAGGCAGAAAACTATTCACTGGACAAGGAGTTACTACTAGAATATAAAAGGAACTTAAAAAGTCAATAAGAAGAAGCAAAATAGTACAATTAAAAATTAGAGAGATGATATAAATAGACACCTCTTGAAAGAAGAAATTCAAGTGGTCAATAAATTTGTGAAGAAAGGTCAGCCTTCACTTGCCATTAGGGACCTACAGGTCAAAACCACAGTGAGATGTCATTTCACTTGTTAGAATGACCACTGTGCAACAGAAGAAAATAACAAATGCTGGTAAAGATGTGAAGAAAGGGAACTCTCGTACACTGTTGGTGGAAACATAAGTACAGCTTCTATAGAGAACAGAATGGGACTCTCCCAAGAAACAAACAAATAAGTGAACAAACAATAAAACAGAACTACCATATATGTAGCTATCTTATTTCTGGATATAGACCCAAGGAAAATAATATGAATATAGCAAAGAGAAACTGCATGCCCGTGTTTGTTGCTGCAGTATCCACAGTAGCTACGATACGGGGCTAGCAGAGATGCCCATTGATAGATGAATGGATAAAGAAAATATGGCATAAATAAAGAAAGATAAACTGTCATTTGTAACAGAATAGATGGAACTAGAGGATATTATGTTGAGCGAAATGATCCAGATGCAAACCGGTACAGCATGCTTTTTTTCCTATAGGATTATTAAAAGAGTTGATCAGAAGGGGTGACAGTGATGCCAGAGGCTGAGGAGCCAGGAGGTTACATCTGGGTACCCAAGCACAGCTGCAAAGAAGTCAAACGTTCTACCAGTCTGAGGCACAGAGAGGTGACTGTAGTTCACAATAACCTATCATACATTTTATAAGCAACTGGAAGAGAAGAGCACAAAAGTTCCAAATACCAAGTGATAAGGACAAGAAAACATTAATTATGCTAACTTGATCAGTGTACACTATACAATGTATTGATTTTCACACAGTAGCCCATATACATATACATATATATATATAATTATTGCCTTCTAGCAAGAAAAAACTTAGAAAGTTAAGGAAATCTTTACTCTCTATTTGATCGCTATACCCTGTGTATCAAATGATTGCTCTCTTCCCCATAAATTTGTACAACTGAAATAATGCTAACAAAATGATTGCGAAATTATAGTCAAATTTATATACTGGGAAGAAAGCAGAAATGAATTTTATTAAATGAAGTTGACTTCTATAGCAATTCAAATCTTTCATAAAGTATTTAGTTGTAATTGGTTTTATAGGAAAATATATATTTGTGCTGTGGCAGATACCTCGGTATTCATTCATCACAATTGTGTGCACGTCAATTTCAATTTTTAGGGAATATGCTCTTACCAGTTTAAAAGACTGATGCATCTTGATATGTTTGGTTACATCAGAAAATGAGATTGTAACTTAGTTACGCTATTTTATTGTTCAAGAATATTTAAAGCATAGCCCCTGAAAGGTGTTTCATCTTCAATTTGACAGGGAAGTTATAGGTATTAGATACATATGTTTCTACATTTTGGTGAAGGTCTAGTTACTGAAAACAATGGATATTTATGCGGCTTTATCTAATTTACCAAACTTACGGTGGATGATACCCTCATTTGTGGCTCGATCCATGGTCTTAGGGTGCTCCTTACATTCTTAGCAAAAGCCCCTTGCACTTCTCCAATACTTTTATCCCCTTTCTTTGCTTTAGCTTTCTTCAGGGCTCCTATCACTCTTTGTCATTATATTATTTAACGCTATATTACATTATTTGTTTATGTTCTGCTTGTCTTTCCCAGTAGATTATAAATGTCCCATGATTGCCTTACTTTCTTGAGGACCTGGAAGAATGCTCTTGACACTGGACAAACACTTGTTTAAGGAAAGCATGCATGATCTCCGTGGTTTGCCTTAGCTATCACATGTGCCGAAGAAGTCAGCAAAGTGACAACGGACCTAAGGAACATGGCTTCTGTAGAGTAGCTGGCAAAAACAAGGAAAATTAGATGGAGAAGAGATTTATAAAGCAAGGTTTTTCCATGCTGACAGGGTCAAAAGAGGAAACTACCTGGTCCAACTTTGAGGGTAAAATGAAAGTACATGAATTAATTAGAAAGCAGATTTGGTCTCGATATGTAAGTTGAGCTTATGAAATTGATGATATGGGGTCACTGTAGCCTATAAAAACATTTCCCATGTAACTATCTAATGCCTGGATGTGTCAACCCTAGAATGGGCTGCTGAAAGAGGAAGTGAGCTTTCCATCACTGGAGGAATTCCACTAGAATCTGATATATGGATATAGTAGGAGAGGCATCTGAAGCAGGTGAGGGCTTATCTCACAACCATAGACCTAGATTTGTCATGCTAACCATGACTTTCTCTTTGATTCTTAAATTATTTAGAAGTTCTTTTTATTGTTTATTTAGAAGATCTTACAAAACAGATAAAAGGCAAATTTAAGCCAGTAAGAGTCTTAAACTATATTTAAAAATATTCATTTTTTATTCATCACAGTAGTGAACACATGGAATTTATTAGGCTATGTACTGAATTAAAATCTCAACCTCTGGGCAAAGACATCTGGCTTTGCAAAAGACCTCAGGTTCAGTGCCAGAAGAATGGGAGTTCAGATATTCCTGGTTCTGCTATTTTACTACTGGGAGGCTTTCTCACACTAGTGAGAAAGCATGTCACTTTCTCAGCTAGCTTCCCTAACCTGTAAGCAGAGACAGTAATACTTAACTTGTCACAGGTTATCCAGTTATATCGAAAGTGGCTTTGTAGTACTTTGGTAAATTACTTGTTTCTAATTAATTACCATCATTGTGATGTGTTTAAAGGAGGTTGGTGTGTATGAGAAATATAATGGCTTATGAAGGGGACATTTTGGTGCTTCTCTGGAGACAGACAGGGTATGGGGGCCTCCCTGGTGGCTTTCTGGATTGAATGGGTCCTATTCTTGTGAAAAATAATGTAACATTTAAGGGTGATGGTTGGGTGGAGGAACAGGGGAGGGTTCAATGTGTGCTTTTTGCCTTGGAGGTGAAAAATTAAAATCAGGAATAATGGCCAGTTCCACCAACAGCAATCCTGTACTCCGAGGAGAGGTCATGCCACCCATCTGAAAAGAAATGTCTTCAGAATTCATTAAGGAAAGCACAAAGCAGACACTCACAGATGAAAATCTCAAAAGGTCATTTGGAAAAAGACTGTTTACCTTTCGGCTGCCACCAGCCTTCTGCAGCTAATGGTCTCAGATGTGACCACATGTTCAAGGCAAGCAGAAAGAGAAGCTGGCCCAATTAGGCTGCGAATGAAAGGGGGCTCAGGAGTGGCTTGAAATGGTAGAAAGAGCAAAAGGAAATGTGGGGAATATTAGGTCAGCTTATTACCTATCTCTCTGCTAATCACTTTGCATAAAGCCTCAGCAGGAAATCATTTTGCCTCCAAGTGAATCACAGATTTACAGCATTTTGATAATGAAAGAAATGTCAGTTCTCTCCAAGCTGCTTGCTTACTGCATTGTTTGCAGGGAAGAGGCTCCAGGCAGAAATATAAACAGGGGATCTGCAGAATCTACAATATTGTGGCACAAAAAAGAACTCTGTGTGTGTGTGTGTGTGTGTGTGTGTGTGTGTGTATACACTAGAGCAACTGATAGAAAGGGAGGATGAATAAAAAAATACAGAAGCAACTAAGTGAGTCTTTTTCTTCATTTTTTTGAATGTTCACTCAAATTGCAAAAATTTTTGAATACTTTTGAAATTTCCTTAGTAAGTCCTCAAGTTGAATAAGAGTTTTGCATGGAATGGGAATAATAATTTTACTTGAGTAAACAATTTAGGGGAAAGACATAGAATTCACATAGTAGAAGTAGAAGGTGTAAAACTCTGGTGGAAAAGACCACCTGGCCCTGGGTACAAGTACCAGCTAAGCTTCTCTGAGCCAGGTGCCTAAGGGCAAGTGAGCTTAGGGAACAGATGTAATCCCCAGCTCTTATGATGACCAGAACTGTGGGTTCTAGTGTGAATTAGGTTCTTGAAATTTCTTATTTATTTTCTTTTTCTATTTTTTTTT